ACATAGCAACTAGCTACGATCAGTGTTGCCGCGAGCTTGAAAAAAAAAATATATGTATCAATTGCCAAGCGAAAAAAGTATCAAAACTTGTTAAAAGTAAATACAACAAGAGTTTTAGAATTTTTATTTGAAAAATTAAAAATTAATGAAATTATACCCATTTTTAAGGGAATTTTGTTAAAGTAATTTTTAGGCCAAAAACAAAACCGACTTCATTTCTCATATAAAAACTTAGGAGTACCGTCAATAGAGTACAGTTAATGATCGGATCTAAAGCAGATTAGTATGGGATCACCTCTGAGACCTTTACGATGCAAAAAGAATTATCAAAATCGGTTGACGTTGCCCAAAGTTATGCGGTAACATACATACAAAAAAAATATTCCAACCAACTGATAACCTTCTCCTTTTTTGGAAGTCGGTTCAAAAACGTTTCAGTTGTAGTAAAGTTGGAAGCAAGGAGAGTTTATACTAGGTGGTGTTACTGGCGAATTTAGACTTTCGCCGCGGTCCTTATGAATGTCAAAACGATGTGTTTGTTGTAGACAAGGCGAATTCATGCTACAACAAACACATAATTTTGACATTCAGAAGGACCGCGGCGAAAATCTAAATTCGCCAGTAACAGCACCTTGTATAAATTCGCCTTGGTTGTGGGTAAACCCAACATTTTTTAAGCAAATTCAAAAATATTTTTATTAGTATCAAAATTTGGCATTTGTGAATAAAAAAGTATCAAAGTATCAAATTACAAAATTTTAAAAGAAACGTATCAAAAATGATACAGTTGTATCAAAACGGCAACGCTGGCTACAATGCGCATAAACAAAAAAAGAGGAAAAAGAAAACTGTGCAAAGACAAATACACGCAGCTGCCAAGCAACAAAGAAAATGAAGTAGACGTTGTCACCGTAGTACACTTTACACGCACCTACTCTGGCGAGGAGCAGAGCAGCACTATGACATCCTTTATGAGGGGATTTCTGCGTTTTCTTTCGTGTTTTGTTCATTGTATATGCGTATTTACAGTTAAATCAACTTTTACTTACCGGTCGCAATTCGCTAACATCCCAGCCAAGATATTCGGCAACAGCCATCATTTGATTAACAATCGCATCCATTTCGGCGGTATCCAGGACGCCATTGCCATCGGTATCGTACAATCGAAACATGACTACGTACATACATAGATGAAAAAGAGAGGCGGAATGAGCAACGTGGTAGCGTAGAAGAAAAATCATATAATTTAAATAATGCTGCACTTCTACTGTAGTTGAAGCTAACGAAGCCATTCAAAAGCCTTTATTATCAACATTTTAGTGGCAAGCAAAGTGGAAGATTGCGCTCGCTTAAATCTGAATGAGATTTACAGCACAGCGATATTATTTAAGAATATAAAACAACGCATTCTGGCGCTGACGCCTTGGTTGCTACTTTTATTTCTTTGCGAAAGTAAAACCAAATGAACGAATGTAAGTAGTTGGCTACATTAAACTACTAGCCGTATTTTAAACAAAATTTATACTTCCAAAATGTCAGCTTACTCCTTGAAATAAGTCACTATTTGCATTTAATACATATGTACGTAAATACCTCCCACATGCCACTTAGCTTATTTAGCTTGCTTGCTTGCAGGCATGTAGTGGCAAGTTTATGAGCTTGACTCAGTGTAATTTATCGTTTCTGCTTAGTTTAGTTGTTGTTGTTAGATGTATACTTTTTTTGTTTGTGTTTAGTTCATAGTGTGCAAGAAATTGTTGGACTTGCTGCTTATTTGTCTATGAACTTTCGAACTCGCTTTTATTTTAGTTTCAGTTAATAAAAGCAGGAGTTGCAGCTATAAGCTTGGTGTGTAGCTAAGTCTCTCTTCCTGTAGAAAGTTACCCTTACTTGTAAAAGTTCTGCACTTATTTTATAAAAGAAAAATGCAAAAGGCAAAGTATTAAAATTATTATTACCAAAAGGTGTTTTTGAGGGTCCTTTTAAGGTGAGTAAATCAAGATCTGGGAATTTCGCATTATATCCCTTACTTTATGTGGCACAAAATTATGGACAATGTTGAACTAAAATTAGAAGCCTTTGTAGGTTTTCGAAAGCACAACTCCACTACTGATCTATAGATATGGAATGGCGAAATTTATGGGCTTTTAACGAGATTGACATAGTCAAAATCTTAGAAATGTGAGGATCGCTAGGTTGTACATGACAAAAGCAAGAAGATTATGCTCTGGCGAAATCTTCAACTTAGCATCCATGAGAGACGACAATGAAATCAAGGTCTCCGTTGAACAAGCTCTAGGCTTGTTGCTGCACTTTGTAGGAGCAACTGTTGGAATTTCATAAATTAGCGAGGCAATAGGCGAATCCTAATCTTAATCCGAATATGAATCTCAAACTCAACATCAATCTCAACTTTAATCTCAATGTCAATTTTAATCTTAGTCTTAATTTTAAACTTTAACTTAATCTTTATCTTAAACTTAATCTTAATCCCTGCGAAATTGTAGCGCGCACTGCTAACTACTACACCACAACGGCCACCAGTAGTCGTAATCTTAAACATAATCTAAACTTAATCTTAATTTTTATCGTAATTCTTATTTCTTATTTCTTAACTCTTAATCCCTTATCTTAATCTTCATCATAACTTTAATCTTAACTTAATCTTAATTCAATCTTATCTTAATATTAATCCT